CGAGAGTCAAAGGACCATTTCGACACTTTTCTAACACCAATGCTTTACGTGGGACTAGTCCTATTCCCTGACAATTGGTTTTCCTTAATCCATTAATAGAAGGTCATTGATTCATATGTTGATACTAGAACAAACATCATTCTTTTACACTTTTCCAGTTCTTGGGCAAACAATTTTGCCTACTTTCTGAAGCTCTGATGCCTCAGTATTCTGCTTGTTGTTAAAGAACCCAGAGTAATAAAATTTAACAAAGTTTGCAAATTGAACTTATTTCCTTCAGACTGAAGAAACTAAAAATGCAGACATAAATGGACCAAAAGGAATAATTAGTGCCATTGGTATATCTATTATTGCTGGTTGGGCGTACCTACTTGGTATCACGTTTGCTGTTACCAACATCCCATATCTTTTGAGCAGTGACAATGATGCTGGTGGTTATGCAATTGCTGAGGCATTTTACCTTGCATTTAAGAGTAGATATGGCAGTGGAGTTGGTGGCATCATATGTTTGGGAATTGTTGCCATTGCCATATTCTTTTGCGGCATGAGTTCCGTGACAAGCAACTCGAGGTAATGAACACTTGATTTATTAATGATCTATCTTTTAAATTTATTATTATGAATAAATATTCGAAAGCTTGATTTTTTTTTAATTTTATTTCTAAGAATTTAAAAGTGTTTGTGTTGGTTTTGTGATAGTTGGATCATTGAATTATTGCTGTTTCTCGCAACCCTTTAGATTAAGGGAAATATATGTTGGTTTTGTGATACTATGATCATTGAATTATTTTTAATCTACCCTTTAGATTAAGGGAAATTTATATATGTAGCACACAGCTCATATGTATTTACATTTCTCGCGTCTAAACTTTAAGATTTACATACATCACACTTTCATGCTTTAAATTTATATTTGAAATAATGTATTTCCCTTCTAAAAAGTGGTAATAGTGCTCTTTTTTATGTGATTTTAATGATCCGAGTGCTGTATGTGTAACTATGGTAGTTTAGGTGTGATATGCTATTAATTGCAACTCTCCGAACTTTCTTTTTTGAAAACAGGATGGCTTATGCATTTTCAAGAGATGGAGCAATGCCTTTCTCATCTTTTTGGCATAAGGTTAACCAGCAAGATGTCCCTATAAATGCAGTTTGGCTCTCTGTAGTTGTATCATTTTGCATGGCACTGACGGTAATGCAAAGTTTTATATCTTGGTGTTTAGTTATTGCAAAATTTTCTTTTATTTTTGGGGTATTTCTATACATACCCCCCAATTCCTATGTTATTCGATATTTAATGCCTGACATTTCTCTTTTACATTTATATCACCAAAATCCTTCATGTCACATAAAAAACTACTATTTTAACTTTTAAAATGTGAAATGCACATTTTCATAAGATGTTATTTATGTAAAAAATGAAGATTTGTTAGATATGTAAATACATGGGAATCCTGTGGTATGTATGTAAATCTTTCTTTATTTTTGTCTTTTGAACTTGTCTTTAAAATGCGACATGCCTTTAATAACCACTTGCTCTCTGAGTACCAAATCTATGATTTTTCTGCCTACTTTATGATTGTAAACATTCACAAAAGTTCCTCAAAGCTAAAATGAATTCCTCATTGTTATGTCTCAGTCATTGATTCTAGCCAGCTTTAAGGCGTGCGGTTGAGTACATTTTTTTTGGGTAAATAACTTAATTGTTTTCAGAATTTTGCTTCAAAAAATATGAAAAGGACGAGTTCAATCAAAATCCATTAATCCGCAAAGTCAACAAACTACTGTAACTTACAAAATACTTTCTCCTTAGGCATTTTTGTATTCATCATCCCATTGAAGTTCATCAACTATTTATGCACTTTGCTTTAATATTTCTGTGTAACTTTATATAGCTAATGTTTTATTCTTGTCTTGCCAGTCTCTGGGAAGTTTAGTAGCTTTCCAAGCAATGGTGTCCATAGCCACCATTGGCCTTTACATTGCCTATGCCCTCCCAATCTTCTTTCGAATAACATTGGCCCGCAAATCTTTCATCCCCGGCCCGTTCAACCTGGGCCGCTATGGGTTACTTGTTGGTTGGGTTGCAGTTTTATGGGTCACTGTCATCACTGTCCTCTTCTCCCTTCCTGTGGCCTACCCTGTTACTAAGGATACTCTCAATTATACACCAGTTGCTGTTGGTGGTCTGCTGCTGCTTACAGTCTCTTCATGGGTTCTTAGTGCAAGGCATTGGTTTAGAGGACCCATAACCAATATTGATACATAGGGCATTTGGCATAGAAAACCAAGATTGTTGGATGGATGAAAAGGTCCGATTTGTATTGGTTTTATCCACTGCCTGTGTTTTGGCAGCAAACTCGAATAAAATTATTCGAGGGTAAGCATATTTGATTTGTAATGATTTAAGTACATTTGCTTAGAAGCAATTTCACACTATTTGATTTGTCACTTTACAACATAGAATGTTTTCAGATTTATATATGGTGTCCATACGAATTTTATATTTATTTGTGGTCACTTTGAAGGGAAATATCCTACATACATATGCATCTGACCTTTGTTGTGTTCTTTTAACTGATATACTCTATTGATTGTGTGTCGGTCCGCTTAATTGGCCTAAAATGCTCATAAGTATGATGAAAAATGCATGATTTATGTACGTTTACAATTAATGTAATCGCCAGTCAGTCACATATGTGATTATATATTCATCAAAACAACTAGCAACAGTTATGAACTTTAAAATTAATCGTCTGGTTGGTGTTGACCTCTATATTGTCTTCATAAGTCAAATCAATTGATCATGATAAAAGCAACGCCAGATGCAAAATAAATTTAGTATCACTTAAATCAAGATTAGATTGTCTCAATAGTACTCAAATGCACCGCACCCGAAAGACATCCGATCGTAAAATAAACTGCACTAGCATGTTTGGATCATCAAAATGATTCAAGCAACTCATTCGTATTTGAAATAAGCTTCGTTTGACATGTGTCAACCCAAAAATCACTCTCCCTAACCATGTCTCCCAAAAACTGCTCTCCCTCCCGGTAAGGGAAAGTCTAAAAGGTGGACAAGTGCTAATCCATGCTACCACATCATACATTTAACAAAATGTTTAGTTTTTCTCCCATAACACAGGGACTCTCTCGGCTATACCTCATTTATTCCCTCATCTTTCTCCATATGTCTCTCTAACTTACAAGACAATATTATATGTTGCGACCGCACGTTTGAATGACGGTTCAGATGGGCAACAGTGTGACACAAGGTAGTATGGTATAATCCAAACCGTCATCCGAACATACGTTCAACTGCACTTAATATTTTCTCATAATACCATATTCCCCATCTCTCTCTCCTCTCTCTTATTATCTTGCACTTCTCTTTATGTCGCTTACTTTCCTGTTTCTCTTCACTAGCGCTTAACACTAAAATTCCATCTGCCACGTGAAAACCTAACATGCTCACAACCCTCCGTCCACCTCCTTTCTCTATTCCCACTGGCAACCCTCCCAATAAACCCCAATCTCATGGCCTTCCCCTCTCTCTTACACATCTCCTCTGCCCGAGTGTGCCCTCACCTTCGACCAACCACAACGATACTCCACCTTATTGGAATCCAGACCACCGAATTGACCTTGCTTGGCGAGAATCCCTCTAGATACAACTAGCCCAACGCCCTTGCGTGGTCGTACGTCCAACCTTCCACCAATTATGTGAAATAAATGCGAAAGTGTATAAAGTCACACAACAACAATCAAACACAAAAGATTACGTGGTTCAGCGTTAAGTTGATTCACCTACATCCACAGGGAGAGAGATTCCACAAGTACCAGATGGGAAGAAAGAAAACAAGCTTGGGTTACAACTCCCACACACCTAGGGCTGTCAAAACGGCTCGTTGTTCGTGAACAACTCGTGTTCAGCTCCTTAAAAAGCTTGTGTTCTATTCATTTGCTAAGTTAATGAGTTGAACAACAACACTTTTTTGTGCTCGATATATAAATTTGTCGGACATGAACAAATATTTGTTCGTTTGTGTTCGACTCGTTTTAGCTCAAAATACTACACATCAATTATATATATAGTGATGAGTAATATTAAAAAAAATGTAATTAACTAACAATGCTACAAAGAATTATAATCATTGACTACAAACTATGATCTCTGTGGCCAGCTATCGCTATTTTAGCCATCGACTACAACCTTTTTTGTCTAACTACTGCCTTGTTAACAACCAACTATAGTTTTTGACTAAGTACTATTGATATAGGTTATAACTACAACCTTTGTGGTTAATTACCGTTATTGCAACCATTAACTACAATGTTTGTGGCTAATGACTATTATCACAAATTCCAACTACGACCTCGATGGACTATTGCAACCACCTACTACAGCTTTTACGACGGAGTACTTGGTAACAACCAACTATGGTTTTTGACTAACTACTACTGATATAGCTTATAACTACAACATTTGTGGTTAACTACTGTTATTGCAGCCATCAACTACAAACTTTAGGGATAATGACTATTGTTGCAACTTCCAACCACGATCTTGATGGACTATTGTAGCCACATATTATGACTTTTATGGCTGCCTACTGCCTTTGTAGAACCTAACTATGATCTTTATGTCCAACTACCACAATTACAATTTCTAACTATAACTTCTATGACCAACTGTCGCTATTGCAGTCATCAACATTAGCCTTTATGACTAACTATTATTTTTATAGCTGCCAACTACGGCCTTTCCGACTAAGTACTATTATTATAGTTTCTATCTATGACCTTATGGCCAACTACCACTATTACAACCACCAACTATAACCTTTGTGGCTAATTACTATTATTATGGTTTCTAACTATGGATTTTGTGGCTAATTATTATAGCCATCGACTACAACTTTTATGACCAACTTCTACCTTTGTAGTAATGAACTATGACTTTTGTGGAAAGCTACACTGTTACAGTTTCCAACGTCTCAAAGATCAAATGCCACTATTGCAACTCCAACAATGACCTCTATGCAAATTACTACTGCAACTGTCACATAAGCCTTTGTGGCCAACTATCATTATTATTGTTAAAAACTAAATTGTTGTAGTTCACTTGTGACTATTACAGCTACATTACTATAATACATATGTGTTTATCAATTTTGTAATTACATCTTATCTACAGAAAAACAAACATATGCACTTACAATTATATGGTGGGTTACTTTGACTGGGTCAACCTCTGTGGTTATTTTTCTTTCCAATTTTTTTTTTCATATAAGAAATCTTGGAGTCTTCTCCTAAGAATTATCTTTTATTTATGTGTGTGCTGGTTTGTACAATGTTAAGACATTAAAATCACTTTGACATCATGAATTTTGTAGCACATAACTACATGAACTAGAGACTAATAGTAATGTAGGACCCATAAATAAAAAAAAACATATGGTTAAACTTCCCATCATGAAAGAATGCTTGAAGATAGAACATATTGTGAATAAGCAACAATACCAAGAGTAAGAATAAGCATAAATTTAGCGAGAATTTAGTGTAATAATTGCCTCGAAAATTGATCAAGCTGCAAGGAAAAGTTCAATAGAGATAAGGTATGTACTGCAAAGTTGAAGCAAAAGACATATCTAAATCAATTAGTCCAAAAATAAGGCTCCATTGGTATTCAGTTGAGAAGTAGTCCAAAAGGCTTGTATTATTTTATATAGAGGTAAAATAGATTCATAGCATCCATAAAATTAAAAATTGTGGTGTAATCATTAGAACAAACCAACCAAAATTACAATCCAATCAAAGATTAAGCTTTTAGCAAAAATACAAAGAGCTTAGAGCATATAAAGACTAATAAAATCATTATGCATTGCATCATTATATTTTAATCTTTTGTTTTTCTCTTGAATAGAAAATATGAAATTCTTTCCTGAAAATGATTGAGTTTTCTCACTCGCTAGATAATGTAAGAGGTGATATGCACGGTCCAGGGGAAAATTTTTTTAGAGACTTTACAATTTATGGTCTCAACATGGACCAAAAATGGTTAAAGGTTCACCCATAATGAAAAAATGAGCCATAAGGAATATTGCCTTTAAGAATGGAGAATTAGAACTAACAGTCAAAAAGTAAGGGTGAAATGCATGGGCGTTGTTGCAAAAAATACATTGAGGGGATACCATAATACCTCTAAATAGTAATATGTTTCTAGTTTTAAGGCCCCTATATTATGATTTTTCAAGCAAATGAAGCATATTTCAAAGAATGTCATTTGAACCATATTAAATTGTGTTGAGAAGGTTCATGACGACCTTCATATATAAAATAATAAACGTCTCCGGAAAGTAAAAATGCTTCCCATCCGAGTGCAATTAGACGATGAATCAATAATAAGAACCTAACTAATGGTATGAATGCATTCATTAGCGGAATGCTAAAAAGAATGGGAAACACTAGCAATTTCAGTGATTAATATCAAAGATCTTAGCGTCTATGGGGCAGGAAAAACAGAAGAGGATCTGATCTTCATATTTTTCCTAATGAGATGAGCCATTAAACCACGAGTCATAATAGAAAAGAAACTTTCCATTATAGTAGACAGGAAAAGTAATTTATCTCATGAGATGTGCATCAATTTGCATGAGATATTCTTAGAAAGAAAAATATTATTCCTCATTTTGAACCATAGAGAGCCTAATTATGATAACACCAACTAGCAAGAATGAAGTTGTCATTGCAAATTCTCCAAATGATTTTACTTTTACGCTTCATGTTTTTTGTTTCAGAAACCCAAACTGCCTAGATGTTTTTGTTTAGCAATTCTTCACCAAGCAATAGCGTGCAAGCGATTGTTTGGATTGTTAAGGTGTAGAAAGTTATTCATAAGGGGAGCGAGTTTCTTCTAGATGCTCTTAGGAATGATGGTTGATCTGAATTAATATTGAAGGTTGCTCCAAATGGCAACTTGATTATGTATAATTTGCCAACAAACAACTTTAATTTTAATACATCTATTAGGGGCATGCTAAAATGGAATGGGAAACACTAGCAATTTTGGTGATTAATTTCAAAGATCTTAGTGACTATGGGGCAGAAAAACTAGGAATAGATTTAATCCTCATATTTTTCATAAAGGGACGAGCCATTAAACCTTGAGTCCTAGTAGAAAAGAAAATTTCCATTATAGTTGACATAAAAATCAATACATCTCACGAGATGTGCATCAATTTGCATGAGATATTTTTAGAGAGAAAATGTTATTCCTCATTTTGATTCATAGAGAGCCAAATTATGATAACACCAACTAGCAAGAATGGAGTTGTCATTGCAAATTCTCCAAATGGTTTTACTTTTATACGTCATGTTTTTTGTTTCAATGTTAGTAACCCCAACCCCCTAGATGTTTGTGTTTCACAGCGCTTCACCAAACAATAGCGTGCAAGGTTAAGGTGCAAAAAGTTATTCATAAGTGGAGGGAGTTTCTTCTAGATGCTCTTAGGAATGATGGTAGATCTGAATTAATAGCAAAGGTAGTTCCAAATAGCAACTTGATAAGGTATAATATGTAAACAAACAACTTTACTTTTAATATATATATATATATA